AAAAAAAAAAAAAACCTGCAGGGCTGGGGTGGCGGGTATCTAGGGTCCTGCCCCTCCCACGCCCACTGAGTCACCGAATCACCAGGCCTCAGCAGAAGCTTGTCAGGGAAAGTTGCCTGGCTTCATGTCTTCTCTCTGTCCCCCAGACAATCCAGTCCCACCCAGGGGCCATCCGGCTGCCCTGGGAGCAGGGAGAGTGTCCTTCACACGGAAACATCTTGCTGGGGACCTGGCTGATGTGAGGGAGGGGGGTGGTGGGCCAGAGTGGGACCCCTTATTTTTGTGCCCTGTGGCTAGCAGATGGCTGGGGTGGGTGGGGGTGGTGTAGGGTGCTTATATGGCTCAGAGGCCACAACCCAGGGCCACCTGCTTTCATCTAAACGCTCCAAACTGTCTTTCATCAACTCTCCAACTCAATTGGACAGGCCACAGGGGCACCAGTTGTATCTTCATCTTCTGTGTCCCCAGAAGGCCCCACACCATGCTGGGAATGTGGCTGGGGATGTGTCTCCCTATCCGCCGAGCTGCACCTGGCAAGAGGGATGCCACATTTGCACGGGGCGTGTGTCCAGGTAAGTGAATCTCCACAGGTGCTGATAACTGGACACCATCCTTCTGGCCGTGGCTCAAGCATCCTGTCCAGGCTGCGGCTATCGTGTGACCTAGAGGGAAAGTGATGGGGAAGCTTAGAGTTCCATCCTCGGGTACCAAAGGCTCCCCAGGATATGCAGGTCAAGTAGAGGTCATTGCCACCAATTCCCTCCCATTAAGCAGGCCAGCAGGGGCCAGCCAGCTATCTGAAACACTCAGACCAGCTATCTCCCCACTGCCTGCACACAGGAGGCCCTAGTTCCCAGCTGACCTCACTGTTTCTTTGCTCTGGGCCTTATGAAAATGTTGCTTTCAACAAAACCCCCAAGGCTGTCTTTCCTTTTTTATTTTCTTAAGAATTTGCTTGTTAGCTCTGCATGGTGGAGTGGGCAGAGAGAGAAATGGCTGAAAATGCCCCTCAGTGTCACTCATCTGCACACAGGGTGTTGACAGAGCGATGCGCCTGCTTGGCCTGGCCACAGTGGAATGCTGACGGGTTGCAACTCATTTTCATTACCACTTGTTCTGTGAGGCAGGCAGCAAATCATGAAAATAATAACCCTGTCAGGGGCTGTCACGGGGCAGCAATTTGACTAGAGGCACGAGCTGAAGCAGGCTGGGTGCCAGGGACACCCACCCTGGGACAGGCCCGGCGACCAGGGCGGCCATCCCTCCTCCAGCAGGAGCTGGACAGTGTCCTCCATGGCTCTTACACACCTGGCATTTCCTGGCAGCAGGCTCCCTCTAGGCAGAGGAGGAACCCGAGGCCAAGGCAGCATCAGGAGTTTGGGCACAGGATTTCAAATCCTGAGGACGCCACTCAGCTGCTGGCAGGACAGGCCCTGGGGATGGCCCAGGTGTGGCCACACGGTCCCAGGTCTCACCCTGGGGCCCCAGGGCTCCTTGTCCCGCCACCCCAGGGGACGGGGAGAGGAGGCTGGGCTGAGGTGCCCATCGCCGGATACCTTGGTGGTTTTGACCTTGTGTCCACGGCTGCAGCTCCACCCGGACATGTCGGGGAGCACTTTGCACTCCTCCCCCGGCAGGCAGGGCTCCATCTGACACCACCACCGCTGCAGGACGATGGCGGCTGTGCAGGCAGGGGAACGAGAAGGATGCTCCCAGTGAGCACAGGGGCAGTCCCAGGGTGGGGAGCCCCTTCCCGCGCCCCCGGGCCTGGGTCCCTGTAGGGTCCCTGCTTCTCTACTGCGGCACCCACACAGGCAGCCCTCAGGCTGAGATGGACACTCGCACCTGCCGCATGGGCCCCACCGACCCTACGTCTCAGCAGGGACAGTGCATGCTGACGGTGGGGGGCCGTGGGGCCTCAGCAGGGGCCCCGCCCCGTGTATGTGAGCAAGTGTTTGCAACAGTTTGGAAGGGTCCCCCAACCCGGCGCGCACAAGGAGTGTGCGCACAGCCCCAGGGACACAGAAAACCCAGAGAAAATGAGCTGGGCCGAGCTGTGGGAAGGGGGTGGGGGCCAAGCGCCCAGACCTAGGTGAGTGTGCGTGCAGGGGTGGGGGGTGGAGAGGCCGGCTCGGGAGGCACCGGCAGGTATAAGAGGCCCGAAGGGAGCAGCGGGTGAAGCTGTGGGTGTCTGGAGGGTGAGGTGAAGCGATCTGCTGGGAGGTGTGCGGGAATGTGTCTGTCTGTGCCTGTGCCACCCCCACACCCCAGGGAGCCGCCCTGATCTAGGAACAAGACAGCGGCGCCCGCCCCACCCCCGGAGTCCGCCCCCTCATTCGAGACTCCTGGAAACAGTGTGAAACTGCATCCCAGCAGATGGCCCGGCTTCCACAGACCTTCCTATCTCTCGGATCAGACCCCCGCTGCCCCCGCCCAGTCCAGCCTCCCACTCACCATCCACGCAGGAGGGCTTGGCCCTGGTGGTGCCGGCCACCTGGCCAGAGAAGCAAGAGCACTGGACGGTCTGCGAGCGCTCCTCGATGCGGTTCCGGTGACAGCAGCGGTGGGCGGCGATCACCTCGCAGGTGCCCTGCTTGCCCAGGCCTGGAGGCACCCGCGAGGTCAGGGGTCCGGCCTAAGTCCCCGCCAGTGGCCCCTCTTCCCAGCGTGGGGGAGGGGTGTTGACGCCTGTCTCCCTCCTCCCCAGCCAGGCTGCAGTCGGCCTTTACTAGAATCTGGCCTTTGAGCAGGAGAGCCCAAGCCAACCCCACCTCCCTGACTTCTTGGTGGGGGGGCAAAGGAAGGCCCCTGGTTTGCGTGGGGAGGCTCAATCGGCTTATGTAGGCTTAGCCATTCCAGAAGGAAAACCACAGAATTAGGCCAGGGGGCTAGGCATAAGCCCCAACCCAGGGCCTCTCTCTGCAGAAAGGTGCAGCCGGGACCTGGAAGGGAGCGTGAGCCATGCTGCTCCCACGCCTTCTCTGAGAGGGGGAGCAGAGCGGAGGACAGGGGAGTTGCCCAAACCCCTAGGATCTGTGGCTTTGACTCTGCTTCACTCTGCCCCTGTGGAACAGTGCCTCAGGCATCCTGGGGAGCCCCTCCCGAGGCACCTCCCTCCAAACCTGTGGGAGTTGGGGGCTGCAAGGAAGCCGAGGCCAGGAGAGTCCACAGCCCCACCAGGCAGAGCGCCCACACCCAGCCACCTCTGCTCCAGCTCCTCATGGCCCTCTCGCGCATCCTGCAAAGAGAAGCACACACCTGCTCAGCCCAGGCGGGAGCCCCCAGAGCCCATCCTGGCAGCTCTGGGCCAGCTCCAGGGGCAGGGTGCACCCCTAATCCCCACACAGTCACTGCAGAAAGTGGGGAGCACCACAAGACACGGGAGTGGCAAGGGACACTGTCCGGGGGGAGATCATGAAAAGCTTTATGGAGCGGACTTCAGGAAGGGCCTGGGGCGGGCGGGATGTGGCCCATGGAGGGCCGTGACATGGCGTGACATGGCGGGGCAGTCCCGGGCTCTCGCATCCTGAGCACGTAACCCAGCACTCTAAAGTGCTTTTGCGCCTCTGCAGCTGTCCTACAAAGTGGGGCTATTCGTTCCTGTTTTACAGATACGTAAGTTGATACTCAGCCCAGATGCAACCTATCAGCCCCCAACAAAGAACTGGTCAATGGGCTGTAGCTCATCCCTTGAGAGGCAGCCCCATCCGGCAGCTACAAAGAATGGGGGGAGGGGGGTTTTATGTACTGACAGGGCAGCGAGCTCCAGTGATAATCCTCCTGTAAGGGGCAGAAGCCAAGAGCACGGCAGCATATATAGGTCAGAGGGAAGGATTATGTGTTGCTCAAACACATACAAGTTAATTCTGGAAAGTATCAAAAAACCCAGCAACACTGGTTGCCACCAAAAAGAGACAGACACAGAGGGAGACTTAATTTTCTCCCTACAGCTCTCACTTTTGGGTGCTTTTTTTAAAGATTTACTTTATGCATACAAGAGCTGGGGTGCAGACCAGAGATGGGGGGCAGGTGAGAGGATTCACCAGAGACAGAGTGGGGAGCAGAACGGGCAGATGGATGAAGTCCACTGCCGAGGGGAGCAGAGGGCGGGTCAGGAGAGGTCTGCAGCACCCTGTGGGTCACTCCCTGCCTGGAGCACACTGCGGCGGCTGCGGACAGCTTCACAGTGCCGAGCCTCAACCCGCTGGCCACCAGGGAGGCCCAGCTTTTGGGTTTTGATGGTAAAGATGTGCAGGCAATTCGATCTGAATGAAGTCCAAGTTCATCAAGTCCAGTGGCTTGCCCAGGGCCAGGCACACAGGGGAGGTAGAAGATGTTCTCCCCTACGCCACCCTGCTTGCATCCTCTTCCCTTCCCTCCTCCCGCTCATCTTGGAGGACTGGAGCTCCCAAATCTGCCCCAGGGTGGGGGTAGAAATGGAGGGGATCCCTGGGAAACAGGCTCCGAGCAGCTGGGAGCCAAGCATAGCAGAGGCTGTGAGCCCAGAGCCCACCTGGACCAGCCCTCGCCAGCCCTGCTGGCCCTGAGGCCTGGCTCCCGTCTGCAAGATGACGCCAGGTTGGGTCCAGGACGCAGTTGTCCCTTGGGTGGGGTGCTTGGTAACAGTCTACCCCACTCCTCCCTTTCTTTAGCTCACCTTTTTTAGGGGATCCTTCAGCTGCTGCTTGTTCATCAACTGGCCTCAGATCCACCTGGCATACTTACATGAGTAGGAAAGATTCCTGGGGAGGGGGGGTTTGGGAGGAGGTGAAGGGGAGGTGGGTATGGATAGAGGGAGGGGGTGAAGGAGGAAGGCAGAGAGTGAGCTGGGCACTAAAGCAGAATCCAAGCAGAATCCCATTCTGAAGCTGTTGCCCCAAGCTCTAGGATAGTGGGCAGAATCCCTCCCCCACCCCAGGAATTCCCAGAAGTCCTTGAAGGCTGTGGGAACAGGAGGATGCTTAGCCTGGGAAGAGCCATTCTCTCCTGGAGTGCAGCAGGTCTGACCTAGGGGCCTAAGAACCAGCTGGCACCTCTCTGGCCTTGGGAGGGAGCTGGCTCCCCCAGACTGCTGCTACCTGCAAGCCCCTGATAGAGACTCCCAAAATCCTTTCGCCTCCACCTCCCACCCCCATTGCACCTGCTTCTTAGCGTCCCACAGAATGGGCTCCACTCTGCCACCTCACACCCATTCCTACTCTAAGGCCCTAGAAGAGGGGTCCTCCAGGTCTAGCCAGGAGAGACTGGCCACAGCCCCCACAGCCTTTCCATTGCTCCCCTGCAAAGGGAGGGGACCTGAGGCAGGTAGGAAAGCCCGTGAGGGTGAAGAGCCAGGAGAACTCTGGGAGCAGGTCCAGGAGTGGTGCCTGTGTGTGTGTGTGGGGGGGGCGCGGGGAGCAGGGTCTCCATGGCCAAAGAGCTTCCCACCCTTCTAGAAGCACCTCTTTTCTTAGGAGGCGTCTCCTCTCCGCACCCCACCAGGAAACTTCACTTCTGTCACCAGCAGCCCTGTCCTCTGGGGCAGACCTCATCCCACTTCTGCCTGCTCTGCCTCTCCCTCCACTCAGTCTCTCCTTGGTCCAGTGCACCCGAAGACCCAAAATCCCTGGGCGGGGGTGGGGGGGACACTTGAACTGCGTTCTTTGGCTATTCCTTCCCTCAGCCGGACGGGGACTGAAAAGCTTGGGGATGTGTTCTTGGGCTCCTCAGCCTGCCCCAGCTTCCCAGCCCGTGGTCTCCAAGCCCCAATCCCGCTATACAGAAAGGGGTGGAATTAGCAGCCTGCACACCAGCAGCCACTTGAGAATGGGAAGCTCCCCCTACTTTCTTCCGTTGCACCCCCAAGAACCCCCACCCTGAACTCTTCACCGGCTCCCAAATCCTGAGCCTCCTGCGCCGAGGACCTACCTGTCCCACAGGTTCCGCTCGCCCGTCTGGGTTCCCCTTGCCTCTGACCCCAACCAGGTCTCCGCCAGCGCCCCGGCTGGGGGCCCGCTAGGCGCGGAACCCCGCGACCCTCACCGAGTCGCTGCGTCCCCGAGGCGGCGTGGACCTGGCCAAACTGGCATGGCCAGCTTGAGGAACCCCATTCCGGGCAAGGGGAGCTCCGGGCTCGGCCTCGCCGGCTCTGCAGACTCAAGGGGGAGTTTATGGGGCATCGGCCGGCAGGTCAGGGATCGCGCGGCTGCACCGCAGCCTCCTCGTCGCCCGGGGCCGCCCCCGCCGCGCCCAGCTCGGGCACCGCCGCCTCCCCGGGGCAGAGCGCTCGGGCGGGCGGAGCAGCGCCCCCTGGCGGCAGAGGGCCAAGCGGACCTCCAGCTCCGCCCAGTCCTGGTGCAGACCTGGGGACTGAGGTCCCGCAAGAGCCTCTGGGCTGGGCTTGGAACCTAGGTGAGGAGGGATTGCCTAGACCCACAGGGGGGTTGAGCCCTGAAGAGTCTTCAACTGCCCACCAAGTGGCTATTCAAACTGAACTCTAAAAGAAAACAAGAAATGAAGCTCCTCATCCCAACGCACCACATACTCGGTGACCACAGTACCGGGAGTGGGGGGTGGTGCTCAGTGGGTGGAAGAGCTGTAGAACAGTCCGTCATTGCGCAGGTGACTCTTACCATGCCCTTCTAACTCGGTAGCCCTGAACTGTTAAAACTCAATGCAACTGTATAATTCTTTCTGGGAGAAGATTCAGTATGTAAAAGTATTGGACACTGAGAAAAGAAGAGGGTCTGTGAACTGATCTCAACCAGAGGGTTTTGAGGTTCCAATCATGGGGACGGAGAGGCAAGGGACATTGCCCGGGTTCCAGACCCTGAGCCACTCACTGCAGGTGCCCAGGGCAAAGGCCCCCTGGAGGATGCCCCGTCCTGTCCCGCTGAGCTCCTGGCAGGGCCAGCCCAGCAGACTCAGTCCTCAGCAGGCAAGTCTGTGTCACAAGGCCACTCCTTCCCACCCGGCCCCCCCCCTCACCGTTTCCTCAAGGGTGGGTAGAGGTGATGACCTCGTCCCCAGGTTCTGAGGCAGTCTGCAGGTGAACAAGATGTGATGTGGCCAGAAATAGAAGGTGAGAAGTTCAGGGAGAGGAGAGCCTTAGAATTGGGGGGGGGGGTGTGTTTTTCTAGAGCCCCAGGGAGCCACTGTTCTCTCTGCTGGCCACCTGGTATGGGGTGGGGGTGGGGGGCTCAGCTGTGTGGCCCACTTGTGGCCACAAAGAGCAGGGATTAGGTGATGCAAGAAGTGGCAAGTGCATTGCCCCAGAAACACTGAATAATAACAGCCAGGATGCTCTGTCTTTTCTTCAGTCTTTGGCTAGCAGTTGCGGTTTATGCTATTTAGCTGAGAGTTGGCTCCTGCTTTGTTCAAACAGGAGGGAAATACCCATAGCAGTGGCTTGCTCTTTGCTCCACCCCCCCCCCCCGCTTGCCTTTGATGGTCTATGTGCCTTTGGGTCTGGTTTTTGTTTGTTTTCTTCTTCTCTCTTGTGATTTCTTTTTTCTCTGGCTCTCTTTGCCTGAACATGCATAATTTTAGGAAGTCGGCACAACTGTATGTCCAATATGAGATGCTCGCTAGCTGCTAGAGAAGCTGCTAGAAAAGCTGTCCCTTCTGAGGGCACAGATTGTCCCAGGGAATAGGTAGGGCTATCCTGGGGAAGAGCACCCTTGAATGGAACCCAGACAAAGAACCCCAAGCTGAATTCAGTGTATGTGGTCCTTGAGGGCTAATCAGACTTGCATTAGGGCCACCAGGATTTGTCCCCATCGGCACCGACTGTGAGTTGGGAGGTGTCTCTGGAGGCTCAGTGATGAATTCTCTGACACCGTGTTTAGGGACAGTAATTCCGGTGTCAGTCGGGTTGCACCCTCCGGCTCAGACACCTACTTAGCCTGGCCTCTGTCGCCCTCTGGCGGCGGGCACAGAACTTGCGCAGCATCTTGGATTGCGGGCAGCATCCATCTATCTGCCTGAAGAGCAGTGCGGGAGAGAAGGAACGCTCTCTCCTTCCTCTCCGTCACTGAACTCCCCACTTAGCCCTACCCCCTAGCCCCCAACCCAACAAATCAGCTTAGTTCTTAAGACAGAATCGGGTTTGGGCCTCCAAGGAAAGACACGGTTGTGAATCACAGTCTCTGTGACCTCTCGGGGCAAGTCATGTCAAATGATAAGTAAGAGCGGTCCAGTCTTGCTTCATCTGTGAAAAGAACATAAGAAAACTCACCTCAAAGGCCTGGGGTGCGGTATAAACGGCTAATGCATGGAGAGTACTTTGTAGGAGTCTACTATGTGTAAGCCTAGCTGGATAGTCATACTATCTAGAACCGCTGAGGCGCAGGGAGATCTTAAAGCGGGGGAAATCAAGTCCTGGAAAAGAAAGAGGAGTCGGCCGGAGTGGCAGCGGTCTGGAGACCCCAGCTGCCTCCCCATTCCATCATCCAGCCGGGTCGGCTCAGCCTGCGTTACCCCACCCCCACGCCACCCCGGCATCCGCTCGTTCTCCGGCAGCCGGCCCCGCCAGAGGTGTTTTCACACCAGGTGCTTCACACCCAGCAGCCCCGAAGCGGCTGGTTGCATTCTGAGCTCTTCAGCTCCAGCACCCTCCCCGCAGCTTGGGCGCGACGCCCCGAGGGCGAGACGCACCACCCTCGCGTTACAGCGGGGAAGTTTTAACCGAGGTCAGGGTTTCCTGCGCCCGTCCTTCTCCTGCAGCAAGCCCCTTCTCCAAATAGGCTGAGGCGGGAAGTTGAAAGCTGGCCGAGGAGGGGCGGCGAGCGGGCGCCCGGGCGGCCCCGGC